CAGATAGAGTTAAGATTGCACATCTACTAACTTTAAGGTAGATTATCCTGGCTTGAATGGTGGGACCCAGTGTGAATCAGAAAAGAAAGGCAGAGGAGCCGTTACAGCCATGTGGTGGAGGGAGAGGTCAAAGATTCACAGAGAAGGACTCAACCTGCCATTGCTGACATTGGATTTGGAGAAAGGAGGCCACGAGTCAAGCGCTGCAGACAGCTTCTGGAAGATGAGACTGACTCCTGACAGCCAGCCAGTGAGGAAAGTGGGACCTCCATCCTGCATCTATATGTAGCTGAATTTCAACAACCTGAATGAGTCCGAAAGCGTTCCCAACAGCCTGTGGATAAGAGCCCAGGCTCACTGGCACCCTTATTTTGATCTTACGGCACCCAGGGCAGAGAACCTAGCCTAGGTTACTGGACTTCTGACATTAAGCTCAGTAGTACATGGTATCTGTACCAACAATAAATTGGTATTGTTTTAAGGCACTAAGTTTGTGGTAATTTGTTACAACAGCCATAGAAAACTAATACATATGCTAAGTATTTATTTAACTTTATGGGAAACTGCCAAACTGTCTTCCACATAGATCATCTGATTTTATATCGCCAGCAGCAATGTATGTGAATTGAACTGCAATTGCTTCATATCCTCGCCAACACTTACTATTGTCGATCTTTTTTTCACTGTAGTCACTGTGGTGGTGGGCTTGTAGTGCTATGTCTTCATGGCTTTGATTTCTATTTCGTTTGTATTGTTCTGTTTTGAGTGCCTGTTCATATCTTTTGTGCATTTTTAATGGAGCTGTCTGTCATTTTACTGAATTGTAAGAGATTTTTATATATTCTGGATTCAAATTCTTTTAAGACATATGCATTGTGAATATTTTTCCATAGTTTGTGGCTTTTTTATGTCCATAGTAGTATCTCTGAAACAACAGTTTTTATTTTGATAAAGCCGATTTTAACTTTTTTCTTTTATGGTCCATTCTTTCTAAGGCCAAAGGAAATTTTTGCTTACTCATGATTTAAAAAGCTTTCTCACATTTTTTTTTCCTCTAGAAATTTTATAGTTTTAGCTTGAATCTGTCATCCATTTGGAGGTAATTTTATATAAGGTATGTGTGAGGTAAGAATTGAAGTTCACTTTTTAACATGAATATCAAGTTGTTTTAGCACCATTCATTGAAAAAAGTTCTTTACCTGTTGGGTTACCTTGGTCCCTTTGTCAAATTGGGTGACTATGTGTGTGTGGGCTTGGTTTTGGGCTTTCCATTCTTTCGCATTGATACATGTGTCTATCCTTATCAAATACCACTCTGTCTTGCATACTGTATCTTTATAGTAGGTCTGAAATCCGGTAGTCTAAGTTCTCCCACTTTATACTAGGTTCTTTGTACTTCTGTCTAAATTTAAATAATCACCTTTAAAATTTTTACAAATGAAACTTGTTGTGATTTTGACTGGGATTGCACTGAGTTTACTTATCAATGTAGGGAGGATTGAGGTGAGAATAGGAAAAGGTGTTCAAAAATTAATGGTTGAAAACTATGGAAATTTGAAAACTGTGACCCACATATCTAAGAAGCTCAATAAATCCAAAGAGGAATAAACAACAAAGAAAATCTCCCACTGTAATCAGATATCCATTTAAGAGAAAATCTTAAATGGGGAAGAATATATACATTATGTACACAGACTCAAAGCTCCTATCAGAAACAATACAATCCATTGTCTAATGAAATAATATCCTTAAAATCCTGCATAGAAAACCATCAACCTAAAATTCTATATCTAATGAAACTGTCTTCCCAAATGATGGTAAAATAAAGAGATTATCAGACAAACAAAAGTCAAGGGGATTCATTGCCAGCAGAAATGCAGTACAAAAATGTTAAGGGAAAGTCTTCATTTAGAAGGAAAATGGCACCAAATAGAAGCTTGGATCGACACAGAGAAATGCAGGGCCCTGGAAATGGTAGATATGTGTTAACTATAAAAGACCTATTGCGAGGAAAGATACTATAAGACATGTATAGCTAGTACGGCAAGGGTAGAGATAAAATGGAATGTTACAGTTGTACCAAAAAAAGCAGAAAAACTGGGAAAAGAAAGAAATAGTATATGAAAAAATAGAAAAGAAATAGCATTCTAGCATTAAAATAAAAGCCAAGACATGAGTGGTCCACCACACTTCAACCACAGGACCGAGTTGCATTCTGAGTGCGCTGAGAGCTGGGAGGCAGTCGGTCTCTACCTGGCATGTGCTCCCCTGCCTAGTCAGCTTCCCTGTGCATCCTCCTCAAACCTGAACTCCTGTGCAACCATGGACTGACTGCCTCCACCTACAAGATGCAGCCAACTTTGTTATGAGTGAGGAAGTTCTCTGCCCGCACCCCACCTCCCACACGCATTAGGAGACACCCCGTCCCAGGAGCCATTGTGTCCATCTCCGGCTGTACTCATTCCTCCTGAAATTCAGTCTCAGTCCTGCTGCATATTCTGTTACCTAAAGACTAAACAGTACTTCAACAAGTTAACTAAGTCAGCATTCAGCATCTTGTATGTAAAATCAAAATGGGAAGGAAAGAGAAAAGAATTCACACCACAAATAAAAGTACATGTATAACAGGCAAACAGAAAAACTGCAACAGCTTTCTGAAATTGGCCATGGGACCGTGATCGCTGTGCCCTCTGCCGCAGTGTCAGCCTCTCGGGGGCCTTTCCCCGGTGGGGTGACTCTAACCTTCTTTCCCGAAGGTTCCAGTCTTTGCCCTCCTGTCTGGTTGGGTTGCTGTAGTTTTCCACCAACCTCACTGTCGGGCATCGAAGTAGTAGGAGATGCCCCAGAAAATCATCCACTTTCCAGACTGCCTCATCGCCTCCATTGTGCAAAAGCAACCCCGTTTATCTGACCAGAATCAGTGTAGCCAGTAGGTCATCCCCCTTTGTTCTGCCTGTTGGTTCAGTGGCAAAAAGGACCAAAATGTCCAGGTGGGAATCTCCTGTTCCAGTTCAGGGGAACCACGGTCCTGTGCCCTGGCAGAAGTGTCTCTCGCCCGTGGACTCAGGTCTCCAAACCAGCAGATCAGACTTGCTGAGATGGGAACTGAATATTCTGCGGGTTGGTTATTAGACGTGATGGTGAGAGATCCGGCCTTACTTCCACCCCTCAAATGTTGGACCGTGTGTTCTGGCTGTGGGAGAGGCCGAATCACATACTGGGGTCTGATTCAAAGCAGGGCTGCCTCCTGTAAAATGGGAGCCCATCCCCCTGGCACCATACCTGAGTCTTCAGGAGGCCATTCCACCTTCAGGGTGACAGGGCAGATAGCTCTGGGCATCGTCCTGACTCCAGGCTTCCTGCAGTTTCTCTGTCACAGCTGGCTTCTCGATTCTCACATCTGCTTCTCTCATCTGCTTTCCACTGTGACTTGATGTGCAGCCTTCCTTGCTAGGTACATCCTCTCCTCTCTCTGGGCCTTTGACTCTCCGTCTGAGGAGTGGGAGGTTTGGGCATAATGAGCCTTTGAAACCCACCACTTCATGGTGTTCTTGGTCCAGTGACCTTGTGGGATTGTTGTGGCGTCACTTAGGATGGTGGGGGGAGGGTGCTTGCTGATGTGGGGTGTCAAGGGAGGGCCGAGCCGTGGCACACACTCAGCGTCACCATTACAGGACCTGTGGCCTGGCTTCTGTCCTCTCTGCCCTTCAGCGTCACACGTCATGTGTCTGCCCAGAGCTGTCAGGGCCAGGCTCGTTTCTGTGGGCGTGCACCGGGACCCAGTGGTGGAGGCGGGAAGGCTGCTTTGCGGGGAGAAGGCCCCCACAGGCGTGTGGAGGCGTCCTCACGCCCCTGCAGAGGCGCGCACACATGCGCGCTCTCTGTCCTTTCCAACCAGATGCTGCTCTGGGGCCAGCCCCGCGTAATGAGTGACACAGCCTCTGCGTGCTTCCTGCCATCCGCTCCCGGGCCTAGTGCTGTGCTTGGCAGTTGCATCAGGCCTACGAGGAAACGCACTATGATCTCCTTGGGTTTTTTTGTTTTGTTTTGTTTTGTTTTGAGATGAAGACCTAAAAATATTCAACTCTATGATTGATTATCCAATCAGCCATGCAAATAAGCCCTGTGCTGGAGCCTATAGGAAGCAGGGTGGGAGGCCTGCACCTCGGAGGCGTGCCAGCTGTGACTTGCGGTTCCCTTTTTATTTTAAATTCTGCTTGGGATCTGAGTTTGGGGGTTGAGGGAGGAGGATGTGCTGGGTGGGTTCCCGTGGAGGCTGGCACTGGGCACTAATATCATACCTTCCTGTGGGTGGAGGGCTGGGGGTTAGGGTGGGTGTTGGGGGAGCTCTGGAGGTGGGGGAACTGAGGGCAGTTGGGCACTTTGATTTGCCGGGCTTCTGACATCTATTCCAGCTTCTGGGCTTTTCTTCCATATGATGCCCACCTCCCTAGCACAGCTGCCCAGTATGTGCCCTCTCCTTTCTGCTTATCCAGGTGCTGCGTTTCCCTCAAGGCCCAGTGCTTACCTGATGCTGTCAGGACCAACCTTGCAGAACGCCTGCTGCCTCACGGGCCCTGGTCTCTAACGGACACGGCCCCCTCCACGCTCTGCTGGCTCGTGGGCATGGGGCTCACTGTGTGCTTGTCTCTCCTGGACTCCCCCAGAGGTCCTCTGACATCAGTGGGGGTGGCGGGTGGGGAGGCAGGGAGTGCTGGTTCAGGTTTGGGCTAAGAGCACAGGCTTTGAGCAGCATTCTTGCCCCTTCCGTGTGCCCTTGGTTTAGGTACTTCGCCTTCTAAGCCTCAGCTTCCTCCTGTGCTAAGCAGTGAGAGTATTTCTAGTTTCAAAGGGTTTAGGGTGATGACAACACGCTGCCGAACGGCCGGCTCAGTCAGGGCTCAGTCAGAGCTGGTGTCACTGTTACACCTGTGGTTGAGAAGGAGGTGGGCGTGGAGGCTTAGCCCAGTGGTGTGGTCCATCGTGGGTGCTCCGTGAGGATGCAGACGGGCGGCCAGCTGGGCTGGAGCAGTGACTGCCCCTCTGGCAGGGGCACAGAGGGGAGGAGGCGGTTCACAGGTGAGCACCCCGCATGAGGGGTGAGGCAGGAGGGAGGCTGTGCATGCAGTGGGGAGCCCTCGACCCAGAGACAGAACGGAAGCGCGCCCTTTGCCCCTGAACCCAGGACAGGGTCAGGCTTGTAGAAAGTGCTTGTCCTTCTTCTGAGAGGGAATGCCCCGAAGCCCTGAGCCCCTGGCCGTGCCTCTGACCTGTGTGACCCTGACGGGGTCCCGCAGCCTCCAGGGCACAGGGCCCCTAGTGGACAAGGCTTGGGCCTTTCGGGACCTGCCGGGTCCCATGGGCTGCAGTTCTTGGAGGGCTCCCAGCAGCTGCCCTCCACCCAGCATCTTGTCTTAACTCAGCTGTGACCTTGGAGAGCAAGGTGGTGGGCGAGAGCGCTACAGGCCGTGTGGTTGACCAGCGGTGAGGTGCAGTGCCACTGTGCTGCGGGCGCATGGCTGTCCTTGGATGGTCAGGCTTGGCAGGAGCACTGGGTTCATGGCCATGGGCGCTTGTGCTGACACCAAAGGGCCTCCTGGCAATGGGTTTGCTGCTGTTCTGCTGCCCAGCCAGAGACGAGAGAGTTCCTGCAGAAGGCGTCACGCCTCGCCTCTGGTGTCCAGGGGGCCACAGGATAAAAGCTCTGTGGCATTTGAGGCCTTTCAGGTGCTCTGGCCCTGTCGGCTTTTCATGTGTTGTGTTCTGCTCAGATGTCTATCCTTCTAAGGCATCTCCTACCCTTGGTCAGATGAATCCCTTTCCACACGTGACCTATAGCGCTCAGAGTGTACTTGTGTCTGTCTGGCATTCTTCACATCCGTAAGGTTTCCTCCTCCAGTGGTTCAAAGGTTGTCTTTGCCATTGAGTGGACTGGCATTCGAATTCTGGGTCTGTGATCCCCACCCATGGGACCCTGGGAAAGCCAATAACTTCTTGGGCCTTAGGATCAGTATCGGTGAAGTACAGGGTTTTGTGACATAATATATTTTCAGCTCTTTGCAAGTGGCCACTAGTAAGCCCTCCCAAGGCAGCTCCCTCCAAGCACCTCCTGTCTGCGTTCAAGGCTGTTTCACTGGCTGACGCCCCCTCTTTCCATGCAGGGACCATGCCTGGGAAGCATTAGCAGGAATGCAGGCCCAGGCTGGAGACAGACACACGCCGACACCACAGGCTCTCTGCCCAGCCCCGCAGTCCCTCCTCCCCCGTACCTCACCCCTGCCTTGTGCGGGGCTGTTCGTGGACCCACGCTTAGTAGAAAGAGATGTTGTTGGGTTTTGAGTTGGCTCATGCCTTATCTCTCCTGGCCCTCAGAACATTAATACTCAGAATTGGAATTTGTTGTGGAAAATTCCGCATTTGTTTCTCTGTGAAGATTGTAGTCTCGGGTTATTCCCTTGATTTCATTAATCTGCCAAACCTTTGTGGGGCCTTGGACGCGCCTGGACTGTGAGATAGGGCAGCGTTCTCCAAGCACGCTCAGTGGCGCTGACTGACGGCCCCCCCAGTGCTGGGGGCGGGGGTGGGGGCCACAGTGAACACAGCATCATTTCACAGAGGCCTGGTGCCCAAGCCCCACCTCCTGGCCCTCGGTCAGGTGCCCCTTCCCCGCCCCACTGACCCCCCTCCTTGCTCACTGGAGGGTCTGCGAACCTTTTCCAGAGCTTCCCCACCAGCCCCGAGTGGAAGGCTTCCTGTGGACGGGTTTGTCTCTTAAGTGTGAAGAACACTTGGCAGGTGCAGGAAAAGGGGAAGTACTTCACCCAGAGATGGATGAACTCAGTAGGTAGGACACATACCTCTCTGTTGAACAGTTCTGTCTGCTTTGTGACTAGACAGAAAAATAAAATGTCTCTTAGGTCTCCAGCTGGGGGCACAGACAGTTTAGCAGGGAAGGAGATAAATAATCAAAATTATTGCAGGTTGTTTTGTACGTGCTAGGAAGAAAACTTATTAAAAATTAAGGAGCAATACAAGTAGAACACAAAATAAGAACGTACCCAGACAAATGACAGGATCGCCATGTATCTGCCCCAGGAAGACCCTCCCCTTGCCCCCCTCTCTTTAAAGCAGAGAATCCAGGCTGTGGGTGGCGGCCTTTCCACGGCAGTGGGCAGTGTACGTGGAGGTCCACGTGCAAGGGGTGTGGCTTTTTCTGAGAAGGGTATTTGAGACCTTCGGTATCTACTGTTTGAGCTCCGTTCTGATCCCTCCTCTTTCAGTGCAGAAGAAAACCCAAAGGAACACAATTTGTACTTTTATGGTGGGGGCACATTTCTAATGATGAGAGCACCCCACAGGCATTTGCAATCATAGATTTGTGTAAGAACTGGGTTTGCATCCTACATTTTGGGGGTAAGCAGATATACCTGGATTTGTGCAATAGAAAGGACTATCTCTGAAAGATGCCACTGCTGTTTGAAAGATACTGGGAAGTTTAACATCAGGTGTGAACCAGGGGCCGCCAGGGAGGGCACAGGACAGGCCCTGAGGCCTGAGGAAGAAGGAGTACTCCTGTCTGGTAAGGACTTGCTGGGACTGCCATGGGCACATGGATCCTGGAACACTGGGAAAGGAGCAGGAAGGGCATTTCCTGAATGAGGAAGAGGGTGTATTTAGAGTCACACACACAGCCTCAGACGCCAGGTGGAGACTCAGAATTGTCTGCATCATACGTGCTCCCTCCGCCACAGTGCGAGTGTCCGGAAGTCCTTTCATTGCAGGTGAAAACCAGTCTTACCTTGAACACTGTGGCAGACACTTGGGGATGCAGGTAAAGGAGCAGAGGAAACCACAGCTGTGCGTTCACAACAATGAGTACATGCAGGACTGGGCGGGGGTTTGAGGCTGAATCTAGGAGGTCCTATGTTTTGATCAATTTGTTTCTTTTTTGCTTTTTTCAAAGCTTCTATCCAGGAACTAAGCCAGGGAGAGCTCCAGAGATCCCCTAAGTGTGTCCAGAGCCAGCCTGCTGGCTTGTCCAGCTCCTTTGCATGCTGAGGGTTGCTGTGGTTGGCTCGGGTGGGGGGTGGCAGTGGAGATAGGGAAGGACAGCGGGCGTGCTGCTCAGATGATGTGGCCTTGGGAGAGGAGTGAGAGCACGCATACGCCAGGGCAACTGCATGGTTATGTGCACTCCAGTGAAGGCGACAGAGGACGTGGGCATAAGCAAAGGCCCCTGAGACAGGACACAGAGCGGTCACCAGCAGAGAAGACACTGACACCACGGGCTTCATCTGAGTGACAAGGCTCAATCAGAGATGCTGTCAGCAAGACGAGTAAGCAAGCCACCAACTGGGAAACAACAGATGCACACGTATAACTGCTGAAGGACTTGTATTCAGGGCACGTAACGCACTCACAACTCAGTAGTAAAAACACATCTCAATTTAAAAAATAGGCAAAGAGATATTTTTGATAGAAGGTACAGTGGCCAAAAGGCCATGAAAAGATGTTCAACATTGTTGTCATCAGACAAATACAAGTTGAAACTGAGGTGTCATGCAGTACACACTCACTAGCATGAGAAGAATGAAAAAAGGTGGTGACTCCAAGTGTCGGGAGGATGTGAAACAGCCGGGCACTCGGACACCTTGCTGGTGGGCTGGCTGTGCAATGGTACCAGCACTTTGGGAAAATCTCAGGCTGTTCTTTGTAAGGCCAAGAGCACAGCAGTTTTATTCCTGGATGTTTACCCAAGAAAAATGAAAACATGTCCATAGAAAGATTTACAGAAGCTTTATCCATAATAGAAAAAAATAGAAGAAACTATATAGGTGTCCATCAGTAGGACAATGGATAAACCATGCTGCATTCATACAATGGAATATTTCTCAGCATGCAAAAGGGCAAAGGGCTGACCTATGTCACATCGTCATGCTGAGTAAGTGAAACCCCTGTGAGGAGGCAGTTTGCGTAAGTAGGAGTCCATCTGTAGAAGTTCTTGGACAGGTAAAACTCATCTGTGGAGCTAAGAGTCAAAGCCGTGGTTGGCTCTAGAGACTGCGGAGCAGGAGCTGCGTGATAAGAGGCTCTGTGCAGCTTTTCCAGGGGACGGGAATGTTGTCATCAAATACACATCTAGGACGAGTTCATTTCTCAGTGTGTCAATTTCACTTCAAGAAACCTGTAAATAAATATTGAACTCTAGTTCATAATATGCATGCCTAAGAGCTTAGGGATGCAGCATGCAGAGGTGTGCGCCTTATTTTGAAGTGTTTCTAAAGATAAGACGCACTGATGGGTGGACGGAGGGGTGGCTACATGTGTGGCAAAGCACGGATAGCCGAGTCTTAATTGTCGGGTTTAGGTAGTGGGTATGTGGGTATTCGCTGTAGAATTCTTTTAGCTTTTCTGTGCTTTGGAAATGTTTATAGTGTTAGAATAAATATGCTCAAGTGAAGGGTGCAAGCTGCAGTCATGTGGATGGAAAATAATTGTGATTTATTGCCCTTTGCTACACAGGGCTGTTTTGCTTATCTTCTTCAAAATTCCATTAAAACCCGCCCCAGGAGCCTCTTGCAATTGAGCTGACTTACCAAATTCAGAAGAATCCTTACATCCCCTCTGAGTCCTTCGTGTCATCTAGATACCTTTGGGTTAATTGTCCCCAAGGAGCTCTGCCGGGCTCCTTCTTGAATGTAATCGCCTGAAGGTGTTTTTCCCTAAGCGGTGGGTGCTGGGAGTAGCTTTAGAGTCGTTGCTTTCACTGTCTGATAATCTGGAGAACAAAATGCCACATGAGTAGAAGGAGACTGAAAACAGTGATGGGGGGACTCAGTTCACTAAACAATTTGAAGTATCCTCAAGTGACCAAAATAAGGTCCTAGGTTCCCAGCAAAGGTTTAAGTGAAAGATGAACGAGCACATCTGTTTCCCTCCCACGACGGCTCCCACCCACAAAGTGCAAAGGTGGGGGTGTCATGCAGGCAGTGAAATGGCTGCTCATTGTAAATTCCGGGGCCTTAGACCAAAATGCTGGAGGCCTTGTTCAAGTCAGCACCCCCAGACCAGCCTCTGAGTGGGGTGGAGAGGTGGGGGAGGTGTTAAAGCACCGGAGATAATCAGAGTGAATTGAGGACAGAGATTAGATCAACACTTGCGCCTTTTTGTTTCCTGGAATGGAGTCAGAGCAACATTGTTCTCATTTTTATTTGCAATGAACCTAATTTTTAAACAGATCTATGTAACAATAAGCGCAAGAAAGGCAAATTAGAAGAACGGGAATTCAGCACACTGGCTAGTTAGTTCTTGCACCATCACGAAAACCCCAGAAGGAAGTGAACTGGAGCCCTTCTGGCTGGCAGAGCACACCCGGCCTGCTTCCCCGGCCCTCTGCCCTTCTGCCAGGCTCAGTCTCCCCACGCAGCTAGTTTTCTTGGGTGGCCCTTACTGTCCCAGCTGTAATGTCCCATCTGCAGAGTGTG